TATTAGAGATGGGGTTTCACCATATTGTCCAAGTTGGTCTCGAACTCCTGACCTCAAGTGAGCCACCCGCCTTGGCCTCCCAAAGTGCTAAAATTACAGGCCTGAGCCACAGTGCCCAGCCAGCAGTACATTTTTTTAAACTTTTATTTTAGATGCAGAGTGTACATGTGCAGGTTTGTTACCTGGTATATTCCGTGATGCTGAGGTTTGTGGTATTAATGATCCCATCTCCCAAGTACTAAGCACAGTACCTGACAGTTTTTCAACTCTTGCTCCCCTCCCTATTTTCACCCTCAAGTAGTTGCCATGTCTACTGTTCTCATGTTTATGTTCACGTGTACCCAAAATTTAGCTTTCATTCGTAACTGGTAACATGTATTTGGTTTTCTGGCCCTCAATTAATTTGGTTAGGATAATGGCCTCCAGCTGCATCCATTGTGCTGCAAAGGACTTGATTTTGCTCTTTTTTATGGCTGTGTTGTGTTCCACATTATATATGTACCACATTTTCTTTATCTGGCCCACCACCGAAGGGCACCTAGGTTGATTCCATGTCTTTGTATTGTAGATAGCACTAAGGCAGTATATTTTTAATAACATGGGCTTCATGAGGCGATGAGAACTAAAACAAATGAGCACAAGAGGAAGATCTGAGGATCTGAGCTTTAGCATATTATAATACTTCTTCCATTGGCTTAAAAATTTCCATAGGATCAATTTAAAACATCACCCTTATTAAAATGCAGTGCTCAAATATAAAGAATAAGGTGCATATTGCAACATCACTAGGCAAATAGCTGAACAAGCAGCAACTGCAATTATAAAGTGGGAAAAACCACTCAGGCACACCCTCTAATGAGGTGTCAGTGCAGTGCTGAGGGCTGCTAGGAAACCATTGCTGGAAAGTAGTTTTTCTGTAATGTTAGATGGGAGGGCAGATGAACTAGGCAGACCTAGATGACAAACTGCCCCTGTCTGTAAATAGCAGTCATGCATTGTTGTATATGCAGTGTAAAGATTTTTACTTTCACAGAAGGGTGTGCTTGTATATGTGTTGTGGGAGGGGAGGGAAGGAGAAAGAGTGTGGTTTGTGTGTGAAAGAGAGAAGAAATTCCGATCACACACTGACTAATAGCATTCATAATAGTTTGAACATTCAGTGAAAAAAATTTGCTGTAATTATTGATATTGGTATATTTGGTATTTTACTTACTTGCATATTTTTAAATTGACAGAAAATTCTTAAAATGCTCCACACCAAAGTGTGTCTGGCATGTTTTCTGTGAAATATAACCATGATACTCTCCAGAAATAATGTTTGACACTCTTCCCATGCACTTCAATTTATGGCCTTCCTCCAGTTCTGCAGAACCATGAGGCCACCTCCTTCAGATCCACTTATGGGATCTTTTTCCTGTGGTTATGTAGACTCTGAGAAATGTCGGCCCTGCAACCTGGGAAGTATTGACAGGACCAACATTTCTCTCTCTTTGGGTCATCATTGTTAGGTGTCTGAAATTTGATAATAGAGATGGGCACTAGAACTTTTTAAAGGAAAGAGTCAAATACAAAGAAAACAGATTTTCAGTTATGAATTTATTTTTACCCTGCGTACAATGGAAGTAGGAGCCTTATCTGAGCTTGAAACTGGATTAACTTAGGACAGAGTCAGACAGACAACTATTAGAAACCAAGACAGGAGGCCTAGACTCTGCAGCTTCCTTTCCATGAGACTATGGTCCTTAATTTTTTTTTAACTTGAATAGCATTAGGGTACAAGTGGTTTTTGATTACATGGATGAACTGTATGGTGATGAAGTCTGGGCTCTTATTGTTCCTATGTGTACCTTGTATACAAAAGGTAATTTTTCATCCCTCAGCCCCCTCCCGAACCTTTCTTCTGTGTCTCCAATGTTCATTAAGCCATTTTGTATGCCTTTGGGTACCTATAGCTTAGCTCTCCCTTGTAAGTAACAACATGTGCTTTTTGATTTTTTATTCCTGAACTACTTTGCTTAGGATAATGGCCTCCAATTCCACCCAAGTTGCTGCAAAAGGTGTTATTATTTTTTATGCCTGAGTAGTATTCCATGGTATATCCATACCACATTTTCTTCGTCCATTCTTCCACTGATGGGCACTTAGACTGATTCCCTGTTTGCAATTGTGAATTGTGCTATGATAAACATGTGCACACAGGTGTCTTTTTGATATAATGACTTCTTTTTCTTTGAATAGATACCCAGTGGTAGGACTGCTGAATTGAATGGTAGATCTACTTTTGAGACTGCAGCATTTTTTTCTTTTTCTTTTTTTTTTTTTTTTTTTTTGGAGTTCTTTCAATTATATTATTGTATGTGAACACTTGGAAAAAATGTTCGTTTTTCTTCACAACCTCACCAGCATCGGTTGTTTTTTGACTTTTTAATAATCGCCATTCTGATTGGCATGAGATGGTATCTCCTTGTGGTTTTGATCTGCATTTCTCTAATGATTGGTGATGTTGAGCTTTTTTTTTTCACATTGTTAGCCACATGAATGGCTTCTTTTGAGAAGTGTCTGTTCGTGTTCTTTGCCCACTTTTTGAGCTTGCAGCCTTAACTGCCAACACAAATGTCTTCATGTTGAGTGAAAGGCTTAGTCAGGTCTGAACTGAAATAGACTTAATTCCATATTTTAGTTGAGTCAAGGCTAAGTAAGTTGGCAAAAGTCAAGTTAGGTCTGTGTCTTAGTTCATCTGTATGGCTAAAACAAAACACCTGCGACTGGGTAATTTATAAACAATGGAAACTTCCTTCTTACAGTTCTGGAGGCTGGGGAGTCCAGAATTAAGGTGCTAGCATCCAGTGTCCTGTGAGGGACTTCTTGCTGTGTCCTCACGTGATGAAAGAGCAGAAGGACAAAGAGAGCTGAAAGCTTTGGAGCCTTAATCCCATTCAGAAGGGTGGGGCCCTTATGACCTAATCACCTCCTAAAGGCCCCACCTCTTAATACCACGGGCATTAGAGAGGCTAAGGTTCAACATATGAATTTGGGGAGACATACCCAGACTGCTGCAGTTTGCAAAAGTGCTTAATGTCTAGTCCTAAATTGGTTTTCTTTCCATAAACAAAACTAAAAGGGTCACTCACTTTTCTGAACATTTTAGTAGTAAGCAGATTTTACAGTTTGGCAGTCTATACCACATGGAAAATTTTTAGGCTAAAGACTTTCCATACTTTGGGTAGCCGAGCTGGTGGTAGAGGAAACCAAAATTTTAGCATTACCTTTAGTTCTTTGAGTTCTAGGCCAGGTCTAGAAAGATTAGTGAAGTGAAGAAGTTTTGGTCAATGTATATACAACGTTGATATAAAGTGAAGGACAACGCATAGAAGGTGATACATAGAAGAGTTAATAGAATATTAGAGGTGCTAGGGAAAGATGTTTTCTGCTTACTTCATTGAATGTCTGGGGAAATACAGGGAAAGGTGCTCCATACCACCCCAGTTAGCACTTCTATCTGTAAACAGGAGTAAACACAGTTGCTCCCTCTCTTCTCTTCTCCCACTACCTTCTTCTCTCTTCCCCTCTACCTCCAGGTCAGAACTGCTTTTATCCTGTATTTCCAGAATGTTGGGAAAAGTTGAGAGAGAAAGAAAAAAAGAGAAAACAGTTGGAATGTGTCTAGCTAGAGATTTTGTGGTCTCTATTCCCTTTAAAATTACCACGTCCATGTGTGATTGTGCACATGCACACAAGTGCATGAATGTGCACACACACACATACTTTTCTTTTATATGTAATACATATTTAAAGTGAAAAACATGGATTAGAGGAAAGAAAACGAGATGACAAAGAGAGATACTAAATGTGACTGCCTCTGGGGAGCAATCCTTAAATATGCCTTCTTCCTCTACCCACCCCTATCCATCCCTCTCTAAAGCAGAGTGAGAGGCACCTTCTCCCTTCTCCTCTAGCACTTTGGTGAAATCTTTCTGTGCATCTTATACTATGTGATACTATTTGCTTATGTGCTTCTCTCCTCATCTGATCTGTGAGCCACCTACATCCAGAATGACCCTTTTATTTACTGTGAGTGAGATGGACAGATCACACTGTGACTTCCATTGTCCTTAGAACATGTCATGGTAAAGAATAGACTCTAGGAAGTATGTGATTGTTCCACTACAAACTCATGATACAATAAGGTATGACTCACTCTGCATCATATGTTGTGTTTCAACCTATAATGATGAGCCTTATTTTAATTGTTTCTGCAGTTAGTGGATAGAGAGATAAAGGTGAATAATTTCCAGGCACAACTGTGTTATTAAAATACTATGGCCATGTGCAGGAATCTATGGAAATGTCAATTGGTCATGATCTTAGATCTTAAGTCATCCAATCTGAGAAATTAACTAAAACAAATCATTCGGTATAACCACTTTTATTTCTAAAATACTGAATCATGCCAGTATGTCTGATTCTGATATTCCTCAAGCCAAAATAATTAATATTAACACAATTCAAATTCTCAATTACTTTATATGTCCATCAAGATTATTTCTCAGAAAATTCATTCACTGTGATTTAATATGAATTTATACATTGAGATTTATGTCTATAAACAATAAGTTTTGTAGGAAAAACTCTAGAACCCAAAGCACCTACTTGCTTCAGAGAATATGAAATACAGTGAAACTTAAATTTACTAAAACATTTGAAGGATCCTCATCCTCTACTGTTGTAGCAGAATTGAAGTCAAACCCCCAAATCTGATCCAAATCACATTTTTGTCACTCTTCTTTCTCCCAAACTCATAACTAAATCATAGTTATCCAGGTATCTATTAATTACAATGAGCAGGCCAACTTCCTCCAATAAATGATATATCTTTGTTGTCAGATTTTTGTAGTAAAAGGTCCTCTTGTTTCAATTATCAAAATGCGTTTTAGTGTAGAATTACTTATCTTTTCTATTTTGAGAGTAAATTGTAACTGTTTTCTCCTTCCTTACAGAAGACAATAGATGTGCATCTTCCAATGCAGCATCCTGTGCCAGGTGCCTTGCACTGGGTCCAGAATGTGGATGGTGTGTTCAAGAGGTGTGCCTTTTTCTTTTTTTCTTTTTCTCATGGTTGACTTGAGCTATAGCATGACTTCATTTTCCGAATATTCCATGTCCTAAAGGTGCATCAGGTAAAAGATATTGCTGAACATAAGGAAAATTTTATTTCGTTTTATGCTTGGAAACAGTGTATCTAGCTGACTATAAAGCATAACCTTTTTATTAGGAAAATTATGGTAATTTTGAAATGAAGTGCAAAGCATTTTATGTTTTCCGTCTGTTCTATAGAGAGAATTGGCAACCACAGCTAGTAACTTTTGATAGTTCAGTAGGCTTTGGTGTGGAATTCTTGCTTCAACTTGAGGCATTAACTTATGTATCCTGTTGTTCAAAATAACTGTTTTTCTGTTCTACCAAGAGACAAATCCTAATAACAAAATTCTTAGAAAAACAATTACAGTGCATTCCTTCTTTCTTGGCACTAGGGCTGTTTTGTTAGTGTTCTTTTGTCAGTAATCTGCAGTTAGAATTAACTGCCTGTATCTGGTAATTTGCACTGAAGAAGTGACCTGCTAACTTGGAATTTCTTCTTGTATGAGATTGCTTAAATAATTTTACATTCACTTATATAACTCCTGGGAATCAGAACAAACAAATAGGTCTTTAGTGACCTTTTGCTTGACATGGAGATAAGTCTGTAGTTTTTGTCTCCTCTGACTTAACAACTGTGCCTACCGTTATCTTTCCAACCTCCTTTATTACTTCTTAGAGAAAACAGAGAGCTGAAAGATAGCAACAGATGGTGGACATCACTTTCTTCTAGGAAGCAATTCAGAATAGAGGCAGGGGAGGGATTCAAGAAACAGTAGGCATATCTGAAAGTAAGTCTCCCTACTGATAGCCTAAAGGCTTCCCAGATCGACTCTGGGCTCCATCAGTGGGAAAACCAGATGTCATTCATGCACTAGAAAGTGCTTCATCAAAACTCCTGGAGCCAGGGATGTCATAGAGAGGACAGTTTCACAGTTTCTGGGTCCGATCCCATCACTTCCTGTGAGTCAAATGACCAAAAGAATTCACTTTATTCTAGCATCCCCCTTTCCTCATCTCTATAACCTCAGATTTGGTGTTTGCTTCCAGATTTTTCTCTGTCAAGAATGTTTCATGGCTTGTCATTTCCTGACCCCAAACCAGTACTTCATTTTTGATTTTTACTGCTTCACTAAGAAAATCCTTAGAGCCCTGAAGTTTGTGCCAACTTGCTGTCAACTGCTGAATGCTCTAGTGAGGCTAGTTTGGAAGAACCTTCAAAAGACAAAACAGAAGCCCAGTTGTCAGCCACATGTAACATGTTAGCCATAGAACGTCAGGTTCCAGAGGAACTCCATCTCCCTCTCACACCTCTGACTACAAGAAAATAATCTGGAGAGCCATAGCTCTGGGAACTACTGTCCATCCTGCCACAGAAAGAAGAATTTTACGTATTCAGAAAAATCAGTTATCAGATGGAAGGAGCTAGGTCAAGGAGCAAGCAGAGGGCTGCTGGAGGGAAGAATGAAAACCTGTCACTGTTGGCCACATTCTTCAGATGGGATCTTGGGTGCAGAAACTCACTTGGGTGCTCATGTCCCCAAATATTCTGTGTAGTACAGTGCAGTCTAGTTTATGTATTGAAGGAGCAAGATCTGAAGAAAAACTGAGTTGGATTCAAATCCGAGTTCTACCAGTTTCTAACATTATACACTTGGCCATGTTACCTAATCACTTTGAACCTCAGATTTCCATACTTCTAAAATGGAAATGCAAGTTGTACCCACCTCCCAGTCTTATGAGGATGAAATGAAGCAATGTGGGAAGCATTGGGCACAGAGGCATAGCTTAAGAAGCAGGAGTTAGGACTATAGAGAACTTGGCAAGTCTCTGGAGCAACTCATTCAGGGTTAGGAAACTAGGAGGATTGCCTGCATTAATAACACAACCTCAGGGGAAGCACCGAGTTTTAGGACTCAGCCACCATCCACACCATTAACTGTCCTCTCCCTGCAGGCTGCCTGACATCACTGAGAGGAAGAATGGATTATTTAATTTTGGAAGATCCCTCACCCTTTAGGCACAGATGTGACTGACGCCAATGATTTCTCAACCAGCAAGGCTGGAGGGAGAGGCAGGGTTTTTTATTGTTGTTGCTGTTGCTGTTTTTCTGCTTATGATTAGGATAGATAAATGGGAAGAAAGTAAACCTGGCTTGAATCATTTTCAAAGCTACTCAAAAGTAAAAGGTCTCTGGAAAACGTAGACAGGATGTGTTCAGTTCTCTTGCATTGCTATGTGGCATGTTTATCTGCCGTTCCACATACTTTGCTTCCTCTTTCCTTCTATCCTACTATGTAAGTAATTAGGATGGAAAAGTCTTCATCAATATTACCTAGTTTAATGCCCCATGTTCCTTTCTAACATCTAGGAAAGACATGATAAGTTTTGAAGAATTCCCTTCTTCTCCTACCTGATATGTGTGATGCAGGGTGTCATACATAGTGAGAGTTCAGAGGGCAGGCTTGGAGCATAATTATACTTTCATAACATATATGATAGGAAAGCTTTCACTGTCAAAGGGAACAGGATAGAATTTTCTCATTTCTGTGCAGGTTGCTATGTTTGGAAGTAGAAAAGACTCAGGCATGAAAAGGAGGAAAAAAAACCTTCATATATATATATATATATATATATATATCCAGAATATTATATTAAATTGATGAAAATAACAACCAATAAAAAGCCAAACAGGCCAGTTGCAGTGACTTACACCCATAATTCTAGTACTTCGGGAGCCCAAGACAGGCAGATCACCTGAAGTCAGGAGTTTGAGACCAGCCTGGCCAACATAGCGAAACTCCATCTCTACAAAAAAAATACAATAATTCGCTGGGCATGGTGGTGCACGTCTGTAGTCTCAGCTACTCTGGAGGCTGAGGCAAGGTAATTGCTTGAACCCGGGAGGCAGAGGTTGCAGTGAGTGGAGATTGTGCCACTGCACCCCAGGCCTGGATGACAGAGTGAAACTCTGTCTCCAAAAAAAGAAAAAAAAGTCAACTAGAGATACTTCAGTCCGAGCTTTTCCTTCTCAAATACTCCAAAGTTGGAGTAGGTTTGTTTGTTTTTTTTTTTTTTTTTGTAGAAAAAGTAAAAACATAAGGATTAGAAGAAATTAAAATGATACAAAAATGCAATATTTGCTATGTCGTTTTCTCTGGATATGACTGAGATGATATGCACTGAAAACATCAGTGATTTTCTTTCTTCTAAACAGGATTTCATTTCAGATGGATCAAGAAGTGAACGTTGTGATATTGTTTCCAATTTAATAAGCAAAGGCTGCTCAGTTGATTCAATAGAATACCCATCTGTGCATGTAACGATACCTACTGAAAATGAAGTTAATACCCAGGTGACACCAGGAGAAGTGTCTATCCAGCTGCGTCCAGGTTTGGTCATTTTCAAATAAATCTATAATGATTCCTAATTTGAAATTGCAATTTATTTTAATTTGCTCATTTTTAATATTATATGGCAGGCAATATTGTTATTGTAGAAACCACAGTGGACTCAGATTCAAGAAATTAGAATTCTAGTCTTTATAGTACGTATGGCCAGCTGTGTCACTTCAGACACTGCAAACCTAACCACACTATATTCTAATTACATGTCTGTTCACATAAGCTGATCAGGTTGTGATGTAATTGTGTTTTTCTACTTTACTGCCAGCCCTAGGAGCAAGGGGCATGTTTAGTCCACTCTCCTTTTCCAACGCCTAGCAGAGTGCTGGCATGTAGTAAACACTCCATAAATATTTGTTAGCTTGATTGATTACTTGATTAGAAGGAGATGTGAATTAAGCTAGGTTCTTAGAGCCTTTGTAATAAACTTTTAATCACAAGGTTGCAATTCATGATTATCATAATTACCTTGGGCAGTTTTGCGATGGCCTCTGAGATTAATATACCCCTTTTCTCCCATACCTTTTTTGTACTTCTCCTCTATCACAGTGTATTTCTCAGTTTGACCTGTGTTGTAGGCCACTGCACATCATTCGCTATTCTCCAGTGCTACAGAATCCCAGTTTAAAAACTAGATATAGTAAGGTAAATCAAGGTACACAAGTGTGCACTACACAATTAGATGAATATAGTTTAACGCAGTTTGCAATTGTCTTCAAGCTTAAGTCATTTCAAGGTGGGTGGTCCTGCCCTGTCATTAATATTTAAATAACCATTCTTGATACAGTCCCTTTTCCATTCCAAAACTGTGCTATTTTTTCCAGACTCTGATTATCAGAAAAACAAAATCCATTACTTTCTTGGCCTTGGGCACAGTCCCAGCTTCCAGTTTAAACTGTGCTCTTTCCCATATTAAATAATGACACAGCCCACTATGGACAGCCCAGTATGGAGCAACAGTGGGAAAGGAATATATGAAAATGAAAGTAGTTAGATTGGCAAGACTGCAGCTCTTCCCACCTTCCATTGCAAAAAAATTATTTAGTGTGGTAAATAAATTCTTTTTTAGAAAAAGAGAAAGAGAGATGGAGAAACAAAAATTATATGTTCTTATTCATCTAATTCCAACTCAATATGTCCACTAAACTCTGCCCTTAGGTATTCCTATAATTACATATGCCTCTCTTTTGCCCATGTTTTCTTTTGTCTTTTTTTTTTTTAGTACTAGAAAGTTTGAACATTTTCCCATAAGCTGTTAATTATCTTTATCTCTCTTTTTTGTAATTTGTGTCTCCATACCAACATCCTTATTTTTCTAACTGAATGTTAATTTTTAGCAGCTTATATATAAAGTGTATTATATATCATTTGCCTCTGATAAATACGACTACATTCGTCAAAATGTCTTACTCTTTTTTAAATACTTGAGATTTGAAAATTATAAACTGCATTTTATTTCTTTTTCTCATGCTCCTTCATGCACACTGAATATAAGCTGCATTTTAATGCTGTAGTTGCCCAACCATCTTTAATGACTTTTTCCTTTTCCTGTTATCCTAATAGGTTTGTAATCCCAGTTATGCTGATCTACATGAGCCTATCTGAGATTACTTCTAACATCCCCAATTTCTTATCCATTTCCATCCTCAGCAAGACTATAATCTAGGGCCTTTCCCATTGTTAATCTACCTGATTCTTCATGATATTAGTCCAGGCCATTGCCCCTTTCAGCACACATGTAATTCAATAGTATTTCAGTTTTCTGACTCACATGAGTCTGGAAATACTTCCTAGTTCATGCTTGAATTTAAGAGCAAGTTGTTAATATCACCTTTACTGCAAATCTTTCTTTCAATATTCTCAGTTCCTTCCTCTTCACTCTTCATTTTCCTTCAACAGAATTTTTAAAACAGCAGAATTGAAACCCACCCCTTAATATTTGCACATGAAGTAAATAGGAGTTATATAATACAATAGAAAAATAATTAATAAACAGTCTCTTAGTCTGTTTGGCTGTGCTATAACAAAGTACCATAGATTGGGTGGCATATACAACAGTAATTTATTTCTTAATGGTTCTAGGGGATGAAAAGTCCGAGATAAAGGTGCTAGTAGATTTGGTTCCTGGTGAGGGGTCTCATTCTGGCTTTCCATATCCACATAGGGGAGAGAGAAAGTGATAGAGAGAGCACACATGCACAAGAGTAAGAGAGTAAAAGCTCTCCAATATCTCTTCTTAGAAGGGCACTAATCCCATCATGAGGGTCCCATCCTCATGACTTCATCTAAACCAAATCATATCTCCCAGAGACCTCCCCTATTCAAATACTGCCTCATTGGAGGTTAGGGCACCAACATATGAATTTTTCAGAACACAATTCAACTGATAGCAATTAATACATAAAATAATATTTTTTAAAATCTATGGAATATTTTTAGAAATGAATTACACTTTAGACAAGAAAACAGAAATCTAAAAAAAAAACTTCTTAAATGTGGATACCTATAAACATAGTGCAATAAAATTTAAATCAATACAAAAGGATAAGTAAATATTAAATAATAGCAGGTTTCAGAGAATCCTCTCCTAAATAATTCTATCTCCAAGAATAAGTTGAAACTATAGTCATAAACCAATAATAACAATAACAACACATCAACATATATGGGATGTTACTGAAGTTGTCATTAGGAACAGTCACAACTTTAAGTGCTTTTATTATTAAAGAAGAATGAATCCAGGTGAACTAACTAAGCATCCAAAGATGTAAGAACAAGAGAGACAAAGAAATTCATGAGAAAAGAGGTACTAAATTTTAAAAAAAAGCAAAATTAATGAAATGCAAAATAGGAAAAAAAGAATAAAATGGATGTATAAATTCAAGAGCTGGTTCTCTGTAAAGTCTAATAAAGTAGATAAATTGTTGGCAAATCTAACTAAGGAAAGAGGACAAAAATCAAATAACCTAAAGTATAAACTATAATTACAGAATAAAATTCAGAAAGAAGCCTTTAAGAAAGTATTAAGCACAAAAAATATAAGATAAAATGTTTAAATCTTGATAATATAGATATTTTAGGAAAATATGTCTAAAATTAACTCAAGATAAAGACCCCTAAGAGACCTAATATATAAGAAGTTTAAAACATTATAAATGATTATAATTATAAAAATTATAATTACCTCCCTTAATAAGAAATACTCCCTAAAGACATTAGGTCCAAATGCTTTCATGAGAAAAAATGTTTTATGTTCATTCAAATATTGAAAGAATACATTATCTTTGTGGCATATAAACGCTTACATCACTTTATTTATTTATTTATTATTTTTCTGAGACAGAGTCTCCCTCTGTTATTCAGGCTGGAGTACAGTGGCACGATCTTGGCTCACTGCAACCTCCGCCTCCCAAGTTCAAGTGATTTTCCTGCCTCTGCCCCTGGAGTGGCTGGCATTACTGGCACCTGCCACCACATCTGGCTAATTTGTGTTGTATTTTTAGTAGACTTGGGGTTCCACCATGTTAGCCAGGGTGGTCTCAAACTCTTGAACTCAGGTAATCTGCCCGCCTCAGCTTCCCAAAGTGCTGGGATTACAGGAGTAAGCCATCGCATCTGCCTAAACTGTTACATCACTTTAGAGGATGCCGAGAAGCTACTTAATTATTACAAGATTCCCATAACCCTATTATCAAATTCTTAATAAAATTTTAACTAATCAAATTAACTGCATGTGATAATAAGAACAATATCACCAAACAAATAGGCTTAAGCTAGAAAACCAAAGACAGTTGATTTTTTGGAATTAATGCATTTTTATGACGTTACTTTGCCAAAAAGAGATAAAACATATTGTTATCTCAATAGATAATTAAAAAATCATTCAATAAAATTTAGCACCCATTTCTGGCAAAATCAAAATTGATGAATATTCCCTTAGGATTTGTTAAAATCCTTCTCAAAAGTATACATAAATATGATTACAGTTTTAAAAATGAAATGAGTTATAAACATTTTGAAAAGATAAAGCAAAATTATCATGCTATGGAAAATCCAAGTAAAACTATTGAATTTTTAAATTTTTACTCTGGCAGATTGTTTTTAAAAATATTCAAAAATCAGTGAATTTCCTTTATAATATTAAATATAATGAAGAAAATGGTTAATTTTATAATTAGTTTATAAAAGCAACCTAGAATGTAAACTGTCTAGGAATAAACTTTTTAAAAAGTATAAGATCCTTGTGCTACCTAATAGAAAATATGAATAAATAGAGAAAAAGTTTATGCTCCTGAATGTAGTATCATAACAATGACAGTTCTCTGTTAGTCATAAATATAACAAAGTCTAAGTGAATCAATAAATGTAAGACAATCCCAATCAAATTTGAATGTAGTTTTTTAAAACACATCTTCACTGAAGCTTATACATGTATAAGCTTACACATGTATATAAAAATACATGTATCTTTGTATATAACCACATATGTCTTTAGCATGCATTCCTGGCAGTAGATCTACTAGGTCAAATGTATGATGATATATTTACTTTTTAATGTATTTAAAGTATATTATTCATAAGAAAATTTGATGTTCAGTTTAGCCTTTCATGAGTCAACCATGTCTGCTTTCATTCTTTTTAATGTCTTTGATTTAAGTAGTTCATGAGCTGTTTTCTTTTGCCTTTTTCATAGAACTAGAAAGTTTGAACATTTTTCCTAAGCTATTAATCATCTTTATCTCTTTTGTTTGTGTGATTCATGTCTCCATACAAATACAACTATTTTTCTAATTGAATGCTAATTTTTAGCAGCTTATTATAATTTGCCTCTAATAAATATAACTATATTCTTTTAAATGTCTTGCTCTTTTTTAAATACATACATTTGAAAACATTAAGTAGCATTTTTCTATTGATATGTTACAAATAATTGATACACTTCAAAGACCTTAGATTGTTTTTTTTTAATAGATACAATAATAGTTTAG